TAGTCATCGTCTAATAAGTTTCCGTAAGACTTCGCGAGACGCGTTCAACAGCTTGACTAGTGTTGCAATGCAGAGAAACTCACTAGCTGATGTACCTTCGATACAGTAGTTCTTCTATCACCTCGTGCCAACGTCTGTTCTGACACGACAACTTTGATAGCAGCGCATACAAATAATAAACACGAGCCCTATGAACGTTAAAGCTTTGTGGTCTGATGTTAAATACTGTCGGCTAGAAAAATAATGCACTTAGAAGCGGCAACTTTACAAAATCTTCTCGGCGGCTTTTTCTTTGTTGTTCTTCCCAAATCTTCATTCCAACACGACTTTCGTATTTCCGCCGAATTCCTCTTATGTGTCTTGACCAGTATAATAAACTCTACGATGTCGTATATTCAGCGAAGCACACTGTCAAAGCGCGCCAAAAACAGCGTTAGGACACCCGAACTTTCCCCCGGCATCCCCCTCTCGTAGAGAGAGTGACTGCAAGGGAGTCGTAAATAGGAGCCGAGTTTTCGCCCTCGACGGCATACGTGTTTGTTTTATTACCCATGTAATTGCGTAACTCGGGAGCTCTAAAAATGAGGTAATGGCCCCTGAAAGCTCATCGTCGCCGTCGCCCGGTCTTGGCGATCTCGTTTTATCTATCTACTCCTTCCGACGACAAGAAAAAAAAGAAAACCACTAGAAAACAATTATTAGTTAATATTAAGGAAAGCCGCTCATTTTCGGGCCCGCTTTCGTGGTTAGTTTTCACCATAATATTTTTCTCATTGTATTTCTTTACAAACTGGCCTTGATAAGTAAGCTTTCAATTGAAATGCTGATTTCTTTTCACTTTGATTAAGTCTGCAATGCTAAAAACTCGAAAAAAGTCAGACACTTTATTTTTTATTCTTTTACCTGCCTCATCTGCATTAAATCGACTGCCCAGGATACCCCTTCTAACAAGTGAACGTGACAATCCGCCCAGGCTTCAACTTCGGCAACATTTATTTCTAGTACATTGGGCCCCTTTACAGCGCTCTGTCTGTGTCCTTCTTTACCCTGTCCGTCGTTTTTTGCGCTGCTTTAACCTTTTAAGTACGACAGAAAACCTTGACTTTTAACTGTAGGTCTGCATTTCGAGTTCATAACTGTGAATCACATTAAATTCTATGGTTTATTCCTATACCAGGATTTAATACGGCCGGTGGTTGTGCTGTAGAGATCTTCGATTGGCCGATGATTGACACACTTCAGAAGCTTTCTTCATATCTTGTTTGTAACAGCATGTTCATTCAAAATCCTTACTCTCGTCACGCGATATGTTTGTTTTTGATTCTATGAGAACTGTTTTTGCAAGACGTTGTGGGCTTTAAAGAGCCAGATTAAACCGCTCTGCCTTTTAAGGTCTCGTTAAACAACTATAAATATATGTCAGATCCACTCAAAACCTAGATCGCTTGTATGTTTCTTCTCCACGACTTACGATATGTAAAAAGTACGTTGTATATTATAAAGAAAAAATCAAACTCCTTCAGTTAACCATGGTTACTATCAAGTCAATTGATAACTTTAGAGGCTGGATTAAACTAAAGTAACCGGATCGTGAGAAATTAGCTCCCAGCTCCCCATGTGGACGCCATTTTGGTTTATGGAATGAGCAGCTTCTCGTTGATCTCTTGCACTCTTGGGGGCCTGTGTAAATTCGCTGATGACGGGTAGCTTTATGCAGCCGTTCCTTGTATTAGCGCTGAGGTGGTTCGGTAACGCCCTCTTAAGGTTTCCTTTCACGACGTCACGACCAGGATTTGCATCACCGCGATTGGCGGGATTTGCATCTGCCTCGCCGTGATAGGCAGGATTGGCCTCGTTGTGAACCGCCGGCGATTGGGCATTATTATAGTAATAGGGAAAGCGATTATTTTGCCCAATCACGAACTTCGACCAAGAAATTTAGCTAATACCGAGATTTCTTACCTTAATGCAGGAGAATCAAGCGCACATCTTCGCACCGCCACCAGATGCGGCGTCGGTGCATGGCAGCTTTATAAAGAAAACTTCTTTGCTCTCAAAAATACGCAAGAACAACAATGCCGTTGAGAGACATCTGTGGAGATAAGCATATGCAAGAACAGCGATGCCAATGCGAGAGATCTGTGGAGATAAAATGATTCATTAATTTTTTGCATGCCCAGTGCCAGAGACGCTTATATTGATGAGGAACGCTTTCAGTACTACGATGCTCGATAGCGATCTTGGTGCGACGGGTTCAGGACGACCCTTTCCAGGCTTGGAATATTTGAATAGACCGAAATTGCGATTGTCATGGAAACTGAGACCGATCAGCCAATCACCTTGCGAGGTTTGGTGGTCTACATGTAGGTATCCGTTTGTGCCCGGCAAGTAGGCAGGGAAGGCAATGTCGCCAGTTTAACAGGATCCAATGACTTAAATTCACAAAAGCACCGTTTTCTTTCTTTGCTTTACAAAGTTTACGTGTACCTACGCCAAGGTACGACCGGAAGTCACCGGCACACCCCTGCTTTGTACGAAGCGTTCACCAGTTAAATGAGTAGCTTGACAGGCAGAATAGGAAACCACGGATGTGCCGGTGAGTTTCGGTCGTGTCTTGATGTAAGCCTACGTGAGCTTCGTAACGTAAGAAAACAGGGATCAGTAAACCATCCTTAACGTAAGAAGACTTTGCTATCTAAACCAGTCTTCATTCTTTATCGTTCGCTGTGATCCAACTCGGCTTCGTAAGTTCTCGATTTCTGGAAACGTCAGCGTTTAGGATCAATTAGAACAAATTCCGTCGCTGCTTGAGGGTCACGTTGTTCGAACTCAATAGAGAATTTTAGTAGATTGTGCGCTACGGAAAGCGAGTCCATAGCGGGCGCGTGCTCAATCCGTACTTCGAAGGGACGGTACGAGCTCACGCTAGCAAAGCGAAGCTCTAGCATGCGGATTACTAAAAGTTTCTATTAGATAATTTTAAAGGGATTATAAACTAAAACAATTATGGTCGTAGAATCAAATTTTAGTGACCTCATATCGCACAGCGGACCAGGACAAAACTAGCACACGATAGTACGGAACCGGAAACAAGATATGCATCGTGAAATGTTAAAGACAAGCTCGCGCTATTTCATTCATTCCCTCTTTTGAAACAGTCGCTGCTTTTTTTACCGTGGTGCCTCCGCGAAAGAATTGTGCGTCAGCCGATTCCAACTCACCAATTGATTACGAGCCTTTCGCCACTCGGAGGACAAGCAGTGGTGTCACGAAAACAGGCTTTAGCTGAGCTAGTCGGTTCATACTTTGGGTAACGCCAGTTCAACTAGAATAAACATGCACATAAAAAAAAGACCATGCAGATCGCTGGAAGAACAACTGATTTTTCGTTTTCTTCGTTTTCCACTTCGAGGGAAATATTATATTTTCATTTTCTTATTGTGCAGCGCGAGAGAACGTGCACTAACGCCGACCATTGCCCTTTTCCTCAACTGAAGCCCAACGGCGGTTTGCTCATCTCGCGGACGCGGTCGCGGTTGCGGCCAAAGGGGATTTTTTTTGTCACGTGACCAGCTCCATGGGACAAATAAGAACTTAGTGTCCCTGCTTATTGGCTGAGAAATCCGTGTCACTTCGATTAAAAAAGTTTAATTTTGCTCGCAGAAACTGACCGCAGAGGCTTTCAACTGGAGTCCAATTAACCGCCGCTTTATACTTTAGAAGCGGCAGGTAAAGTTACGGCCAGGGAAGGTAAATATGAGCTAGGAGAATCGAAAAATCAAGCGAAATAAAAGCGGTGGCTCTATGTTAATATACCTAAGCCAGCGTCGGACACATTGTCCTTCTGCAGTAGTTGACCATTCCACTGCCGGTCGCGATAGCGGACGGACGTGATATGGATCGCTCCTTGCAAGCGGCGGCGGCCGTGCCCGGCCGCGGTGATAACAGGTCTTTTGCTGCTAAGGAATATCGTATGCAGTTGCCGACACTGCCCACCGGTGATGCAGCAAAGCTCAGCGTCGTTTTGCACGCTGACCTCGACGGGCGCCCGTACAAGATTGAAGACTTCAAGCAGCCGTTGCAACAGGTGGGCGTTTCGTCAGACGTGGCGGGTCTGGGCGCCCACCAGATGAGCCACGTCTGGCTGCTTAAATTGAAAACTCCGGAAGCGAAAGCAAAGCTTTTGGAAGCAGGGAGTCTTCAGGTGAAAGGTTTGACGTGCCAGCTCGTCGACCCGAACCGGAGGGAGCTTCGCGTTAAGCTTTACTGGGTCTCGTTCGACGCGCCGGTGGACTCTATTCGGCGCGCCTTCGAACCATTTGGATCCGTCAAAGAAGTCGCGAGGGAAAAGTGGAAGGTAGATGGTTTCGTCGACGTTGAGTCCACGACCCTCGTCGTGAGGATCACCCTCAACGAGGGAGTCTCGCTGGAGAGCCTGCCGCACCAGCTCCGTCTCTGCGGTGGAAACCTCTTGGTCGTGGTGCCCGGGCGCGCGGCGAAATGTCTCCGGTGCCGTCGCACTGGGCATATCCGCCACGACTGCAGGGCGCCCTGGTGTGCTGAGTGCCGCGGCTTCGAACACGAGCCCAAGGACTGCGTCAAAACGTACGCCCGTGCAGCCGGCGGCAGTACCAATGCGGAGTCCACAGAGCTTCTGATGGACGAAGAAGAGGCGGAACAGGCGGCTGCACCGGCAACGCCGATAGTGCCTCAAGGGCAGCCCGACTCGGAGGAAGCCAAGGGAGGCCCTAGCGAGACGGAGACCGCCGCTTCTGAGACGGAGCCATCGCCCAAGACGACTCCCGAAGGAACCAGTGATGCTTCGGCGAGGGATGGAATGGCGACTCCGGAAGCACCAGTGGATGCCGTCCAAGGAAGGGAGCCCGCGGTCGCCAAGGGTGGCGACGACGACCACGTTATGGTCGTCGAAACCACTACAGTGAAGCGCCGTCTGGACGATGCGCCGTCCAGGGGTGGGGAAGGACAGCTGAGACGCCTCGAGCGTGAGTAGTGCGGGAAGGTGGGACGGTTCAAGAGCCGGCCCGTGCCTCCTGTACGCCACAAGGAGTAGCCACAGTGAGTCGTCTCGGCACGTTGCTGCCTGCTTCACACTGTAAGCACCGTGCTCCCGGCCTGGTCTTTCTCTAGCCCTTCATGTTTCAGAGGCCTTTGAGAGTAGGCACTTTAAACGTGCGAGGTTTAAACGCGAGGCGTAGGCAATGCCAAGTGAGCTGTTTTTTTTTTGTTTAGAAAGACCTCGACGTAATTGCCGTGCAAGAGCCGAAGATAGAGAGCGAAGACCGGACGGAGAGCATGGTGCGGCTCTTTGAGTCTCGTTACGATGTGTGCGTTAGTCACGCTGTGGGAACGTCGGGGGGATGCCTTTTATTTATCAGGAAGTCTCTTGGGGTCCGTGACCAGAGTTGTTAGTTGCAAGTCTGGTCGCCTGGTTCTGTGCGATTTGACCATTTCAAGTAAACTGTTTCGTATTTTGTGCGTTTACGCCCCTAATAAGGCGGAAGAAAGATTAGTATTTTTTGAAAACATTTTCGAGTTCGTCCAAACCGATAGGCTTGTCATTTTGTTAGGAGACTTTAACTGCGTTTGCGAGCCGCGTGACCGATCGAACAGCACACAGTATAGAGATACGAGTACCATTTTTCTAAGCGATATGGTCCAGAAGTGTGAATTGGAAGACGTGGGTCTGTGTGCGTCAAGTCCTATTTGCCTATTTTTTACTCACTTCCAAGGTGCTAGTCACGCACGGTTGGATAGAGCTTATGTTTCTTTGGAACTCGTCAGGTCCTGTAAAACGTATGCAGTGGACCCAGTGTCTTTCAGCGACCACTGTCTTGTTTCTTTTACATTGGGCTCTTCAAAGAGAAAAGCCAATAATTTCAGTTGGGATCTGTGGAAATTAAATTCGAAGCTTTAGCAAGACGATATTTTTGCGAGTGAGGTGCGTAAAAGTCTCGAACAACTAGATAAAGTAAAAGAAGGAAAAAGTGTCGGGGCGAAATGGGAACTGTTAAAACACGAATTTAAGATGAGCGCCATTGAAAGATCTGTTGCCTTAAAACATGGGGAAAGAAAAGAAATTACGGAGCTAAAGGGGCTGCTACAAGATTTGCTTAACGCGGAGAGCATATCACCCGGGCTGTTTTCCGATGACATCAGTGTTCTAAAGAAACGCCTTGAGGCCCTTGATACCGAACGTTATCAAGGGGCCATGGTTCGAGCACGTTTACAGCGTTTATCACGGGGAGAGTTACCCACGAAAAGAGCCCTAGGGTTAGAAAAGAGATACGCTAGCAAGAATGAAATAGGCGAGATACAGTATCAAGGGTCTTTGACGAGTGAAAGACAAGTCATCGTGCGTGCTTTTGTTGAGTATTACAAAGGGAGTTTCAGTTATCGTGCTTCAAAGATAGCAGAGTTCCAAACGTCCTTTTTGCCGTTAATGCCGAAACTCGATGATGATGCAAGAGAAAGGTTAGAACAACCTGTAGAACTGTGGGAGATTGAAAAAAGCGATAGATAATTTAAAGCCTGGAAAGTCGCCCGGTCCAGATGGTTTAGGAGGGGATTTTCACAAAACGTTTAAAGATCAAATTGCACCTTTATTGCAACGCGTTTTCGCTGAGGCGTACGACCTTGGTTGTTTGCCTCCCTCCTTTTTGTGTACGCATACGATTTTTATTCCTAAGAGCGAAGACCCCGAGCGACTCCGTTCTGTTGGAGCGTATAGACCGATAACGCTCACCAACGTTGATTATAAAATTTTCATGAAGGTACTGGCTGAACGCCTAGAAATGGTTATTAACGTCATCGTCAGTTCGCACCAAACTTGCGGCATTAGAGGCCGAAGTATTGTAGCAAATGTGCACGTCGCGCGCAGTATTCTAGAGTGCTGTGACGCCATGCACCGTAGGGTCGCGGTGCTACAAGTGGATTTAGAAAAAGCGTTTTACCGTGTGTCGCACGAGATTGTTTTTTCGATTTTAGAACACGTTAATGTAGGGTCTCTCTTATACAACGGCATCCGAATGGCGTATAAGAACTGCGCCACCAGTCTCGTAGTGAATAAATCTGCGCATTCCCCTACTTTCTTCTGTGCGGCAGGGATGTCCGCTTCCACCGCTACTTGTTTGTGTCTTTCTGGAGCCTTTTTATTTGAGCATCATTCATAACAGTCAGATACGTGGGTTTAGACTACAGGAAACTGAGGTCCGTCTTTTGTCCAACGCGGACGATGTAGCGATGTTTTGTGTTGACCGCGAAAGTGTGAGCAAGGCTGTACAGTTAACAGAACTATTTTGTGAGTAGACGTGTAGTGAAGTCAACTGGCAGAAGTGTGTTGGTTTTTGGCACGGTGACTGGCCCTCAGCACCCGCTATTTTTGGCCGTATTGTCTGGTCCGACACGCCTGCGCGTTACCTTGGAGTACCCTTGGATCAGTACCGCGTCAATGATCAGTACTGGAGGGATGAGACTGAAGTTCTGCGTGCAAAGGCCGAGAAATGGGGGGGGAAAAGGTTTATCCGTTTTTGCGCGGGCAACTGTTTGCAATTTGTTTCTGGCTGCAAAAGTCTGGTATGTGTTCCAGGTTTTGTATTGTTCACGTATTAACATTCAGCGGATCCATCGTGTTTTCGCCGTTTTTATCTGGAGCTCGGCCTGGGAACGAACCAGCCACACAAATCTTTTTCGTAGGTTCAAAGCTGGTAGTATAGGTCTTTCACACCTGTTTATAAGACAACTGGTTAGCAGGTTTATGTTTCTTAGAGACCAGCAAGACCCTTTTTTGCGTACAGTTATTCAGACGCGGCTGCGCAGTGCCCTGCCAGATTTTGTGGTGGCTACGAATGTAGACATCTGCCTGGTTTACGCGGATACTTGAAAGAGGTTGTTGGTGCGTATCGGTTTTTAACAGCACGTTTTTGTTTGCAGTATTTGTCCGGTTTGTCGCGTAAACGGTTATCGAGAGACCTGATGGATGCGCTTTTCCCCATGCCTTTGTATCGTTTGTTGTACAGTGCAGGCCCAGGGCAAGATGTTTTAAAGCGCGTTAAAAGACTGCTGGTTCCCGCCTACACCAAGACGTTTTTTTTTTAAATTACACAGCAAAACACTCACCGTTAAAGCTTGGTTATCTGAGAAAGGTATACCGGTCCCATGGTCCGATAACTGTTTTTTGTGTAAAAAGCGAGAAACTATTGAACACGTCTTCATCGACTGTTGGGACGCGGTCTTCTTTTGGGACGTCCTTCAGAGGACTCTCAAAAAGAACCTCCCAATAACGCCTCAGGGATTTAGGTTTTTACCCACAGAAAGAGCGGACGATGTGCCGTATGACATGATAATGCTCCTGGGCCTGCACAGTATACGGCGATGCCGTATGGCTGTACGCCACGCAGATGTTGATGTACGCCCTGTTCGAAAGTATTTCATTGAAAATATCTGTTTTCTGATTGAAGTGTACAAGGCGCAGGAACCACGACCTGATTGGTTGCCTGCTCTTGAGGGGCTAACTACCTTAAAATACTTTTAGCATTTCTGACACCAGCCGAGCTGACTGATGTCCTCGTTTTTATCCCTGTTGTTTTAAGTACGGAGTGATGGTGAATGTCACTGTCCTGTTCCAGGCAATAAAGAAAAAAATATTCTGCAGTAGTTGAGAGGTACGAGCGTCGGGACTTGTCGTCGCGGCGTGGAACTTCTGGGTTCAGATTGCGCCAGAAAGTTATTTTTTATATATATTTTGCGCGTGTGTCTTACTTATGAACCGTGATCCTTTCTACAAATCGTCCAACTCATCCATTTGCACTACTGCGCCTTACACGGTTTTTGCTCTTTGTTCCACTGCTGCATCAACACACCGGAAGAAAAACAAAAGAACAAGCCAAGTTAAGGCGCTAATACATTCATTTTATTATGTTTATTAAAAAGAAACCTAGGTCAAGCCAAGGTAGCGCGCACATACAATTACTTTATAAAGCTCAAAAACGAAACCAAGATTACAGCATCGGTAGGACTTTCACACAAACGTGGCCCAAACAAGCATCCTTCCCCCAGCAACTACACTTTTATGTGTTTCTAAGTATAGAACGCTTTTGCTATGACTTTTTTCCATAACAGGAGGCGCCTATTCAGTAATAATACACACTGCAGTTGTTCCAACTAAAAAAAAAAAAAAAATTCCACAAAGTAAGCAAAAAAAAAAAAGAGAAAAAGTTGCTGGTACGGTTTGAACTTGGAACTTTCACGCTGCGATGACAAGCCCTTGCATTCCAACCTCTCGACTACAGCAAAAGGTTGAAGTCTCTAGCGCAGGCTCACGTTTATAAATATACTACCACCGCTTTTATCCCGCGTAATTTTTCCTTTATTCTGGCTAATATTTACCTTCCCTAGTCGTAACTTTGCCTGCCGCTTCTAAAGTATAAAGTGGCGGTTAATTGGACTCCAGTTGATAGCCTCTGCAGTCAGTTTCTGTGAGCGAAATTAGACTTTCGTACTCCAAGCGACACGGATTTCTCAGCCATTAGGCAGGGACGCTAGGCACTTCTTTGACCCCACGGAGCTGTTCACGTGACATAAAAATCCCTCTTGGCCGCAGCCGCGGCCGCCAGATGAGCAAACCGCCCCAGATGCAGCCGATGTTAGAACCGTGAGCATGTGGCTCTGAACAGTGCTTGCACTGCACGAGAGCGCGTTCTTGGCAGGGACGCTGAAATCTTGGAGTTCGCGCTTATTGGCGGCGAGATGTTTTGGTGGCGCTCGCCTATGGTTACCTCTTGTGACGTCATTATCTTGTGAACAACAGGTTTGATGGTGTTTGTAATTGGCACGCTGGGAGCTTGAAATAATTGCGCTCTGAAACCAACACTGCCAACACCGTCAAAATTTAAGTTTTTACATCACTCTTAATTCCGTCGATGAGGAATCCTTTGCTGACGTCATCATCAGCATTCGGTCAATCGTGGAAGGCCAATCACAGCGACAATTTTGATCGCTCACGTCGCCAATAGCATCGGCCACGTCGGGACGTAGGCTGACATGAAGTATAGGATTTA